AAAATTCACATTCCCGTCCAACGGCGAGGTCTGCTTGCGTATCATGTCATAACGCCCTTTTTATGTTTGTTTGCAATTTTAACAGATTAGTCAAAACTTTCCCCGATTGTCATCCTTCATCAAAGTGCTTCATTGCTCTGTCGATGAAAAGAGGTGAAATATCCTTGGACAATGTATGTATGTATCCCGATTTGTAATTGTAATTGCAGCATACTATAATTTGATAATAAAATTAAGATTCACGAATAAACTAATAAGACGCCATCCAATAGGAGCTTCTGCTTGTCAAACATTATATTGAGAGTGGGGCATAGTGCAGCATACAGAGGGCAATAGATGATTTAAATCTCCATCCTTTCCTGCATATGGTACGAACATTTAAGTTTCTAAAAATAAGTTTAACACGGAAAGTTAATTTAAGAAAATAGATTCCGTGAATGTTTTTGTTCTCTAACTTTGCATTTCCATTTGTTCGACATATGAATTTTGAGGGTACTAAAATTCTTCCGTTGGGTAAATAATTTTTTCGAAATGTGATTTAATTACAATATCTTTGCCAATATCTTGACGGTTGCCCCCAGAATGAAGACAAATGTGGACAGCGGGCCAATATTTCTTATTAAATTATTCCAGCGGGAGCCAATTGAGGATGTCCGATGATGAAACTGTTTGCCAAACAATCGGGGTGAATTAAACAGTGCATTCAAAAGTTATACTTCAGAGATGCCGCGCCAAAACCATGTGAAGCTTGCCCTAGCATATTCACCATGAAGCAATATCAACCTTTCAAAAAGGGCGTGTTAAAACGGGCCAATGAGAACACCCCTGCTCGGGAGGTCAACCCTTCGTTTTAGCATACAATATAATACTCAAAATTAAGGTGACGCAGTTCTCTCAATTTTTTAGTTCGATAACTGGAATGACCACAAACATAGACATAGAGCTATATAATTAAAATTCTTTAATTTATATCACAGAAAATGGCAACTTATTGACGATTTTTGATTCAATGAAGGGAAACAAATTTTAACCAAGTTTTAACCAAGTTAATTGCTTGTCAGTTTCAAATTAAAACGTCATTGCATTTTCGTTCAGTGTCATCATTAATCCCGGGTTCAAAGATGGAAACCAAGTTTAATCATATACATGTACATGTAGTTACAACAGCAACCAACTAGGATTTAGGGTTTTTCACTATTTTACTATGCCAACCTATTTTTAATTCAACATGTATTACAATGGCAACTTATTTTTTAGTAAATTTATTCTCTCAGAATGGATGTTTGATAACAAGTTCACTTGATTCAGACGTGAAGAATTTTTATCATTATTTACGTCATGATGATCTGCCTTTTTTCAAGTTGTAAAAGAGGTTATCCTTTTAGTATTACCAGCTAATTTGATGAAATAATCTTCCAGTGTTTTAGAACTGCAAGCGATATCTGCCTTAACAAGGTAAAACACGGTAATAACCAAATGTTCATGGGTTATCTACAAAACCTGGAATGTTCACTTAGTAACACTAGTAAACATTGGTCGATCGAGGTTTTTTCGATGGAGACACGTTTAGACTTGTACTAAATGCGGGAGGCAACATGTTTTCTAATATAATCCATCTAGAATGTAGAAAAATGAAAACCAAAGCGTTAGTGTAATCCTAGAAGAAACACTTACATTTTAAAAGAAACAACCACAGTGTTTACTCTACAGTATTAATTATAATTTCAGAATGTTATATTAATCACCTATGAGTTTTTCCATTTCTCAAACAAATACCACAATGTTAATGAAAACGTGAATCTCAATTTTCGTGGAATGAAATCTTTTATCTGAGCTGCCAATGCAAATGGACTTAGTTTATTGCCACATTGACAACATTTTCTTCTTTGGAAATTAAATTAATACTACTTGCTGCGCTTATTGTGAAATTAGCAAAATTTAATGTAAAAATTGTGGTTTGATGAAGGAAATGGTACATACTTTCACAGTCTATTGATATTCCTATTACCAATTTCCTTAACTTAAGAGAGAATCAGATATAGCGAGCAGGCTAAACAAAAAATTGTTTCAGTTTTAGAATATTTTTGGCTCATGATATTTCTTGTCATGTCTATTTTCTAAAGATCACAAAAGTGCATACTTTATTCCAGGAAAACTAGAGATTTTTACAATAATGTATTATTTTTCTATAAGAATGGTTACCATTCTTATTATTTGGTGGAATTTAAACATTTTCCCCCCATTTTTGCACTTTGAATCATTAATAACTTCACCAATTTACAACATATTGTGAATCTTTTGGGAGATATTGTGTTTGATATTGTAAGGAATAGATTGGTAGGTCAATTATACATGTTGCTTTTAATTTTGTCACCCCCTATAGATCAGATTCTGCCTTTAAACTGAATGCATCGCGGAATTTCCTTCTATTCCAGTTCTTGTAGTATTCCATGTTCGAGAGGCTGCACTATCTTTAGAGTTTTTGAAGTAAGATAGCATCTGTGAATCCACCTAATAATAGCACAGTTGCAGAAAACATCATCTCTGTTCTTCAGATATACACTCCCTTCCATAAATTTGGCAAACAGTAATTTCCAATGAATAGCCAGCATCAAAGTCTGCCAATGATTAAATCTTCATTTTGTTCCTTATTTATAATAGTTTAGTAATTTATGACAATCTTGATGAATTAATTAAACCTTCACTATTAATCAGACTTTCATACGTGATCCAATTTTTGAACCTCCGGTTTCCAAACTTATTTAGGGGAGTGTACATACAATCAACGGTAAACCTTTGTAGTAAATAGCTTGCCTTCTACGAAAACACACTGACATTTTTATTTAGACAATGTTTTAATGTTTTGCAGATTGCCGGATGTGCGAACAGTTATTTCAAAGAAAAGCCTTGTATGGATGTCTGAAATGTCATGCCCATCACTATTTTTACATGAAATACATTCTGGTATTTTAATTTAGCATCGTCTTTATATCCCATGACAACTGTTGGGATTTTGGCTTTTGATGCGTATATTTTTACTTTATGCGGGACATAACTTCAAATGTGCAAGTCCCGTCGTTTTATCGTGCCAACCAGCCATCTTTCAGATTATAGGTTTGTAACCATTGGTATGAAAAAACGAATCCCCTAATCCCCCTTTCATTTAAAGCATTTGGGAATAGTGTACATTGTAAATCAATTTATTTTGTAAGACCTAGAAATGTTATCTTCTATAACCATGAACAAAATATCATGTTTGGCCTCTATTTTCTACTCGGGTGTCGACTTTTGGCAATCAACCGAAGATACCTCAAGAAAAGCCGGAGATTGCCGAAGCTTTTCTTTGCCAACGAAGTTGGCCGAGGGAACCACGAATGTTAAGAGGACGTCTCTAATTGGTCAAAAATAGAGGCTCGGCATTCTCCGTCAGATTGAATCGGCAAAATTCGGTTGTAAGGCTTACCTTCGGTTGTATGGCTTACCTTCGGCTGCATGGCCCAACCTCGATTGATTGGAAAAGACGCTGTCCCCTTTTTACTCACTTTAGAGTACTATTTCACCCCAATCTACACCCGCATTGTATCTATCTTTAACCCCGCACTGTACCCCAATGTTGCGCTATTTCAATTTGGAAATGAACAAGAAATACAAATTACAAGATTCGAGTAGCTAATCATAAGAATGCGAATAACCAAATATGCTTTTAATTGCTACAATTTTACCTTGATAATTATTCCCTATTAAGCTACATTCTATCCTGATTTAACCCGAAATTAGTAAGATAACTATTTATACTACGATATAATTAAAACGTTATTATTGGGAACAACATTCCGTCATGACAATATCCGAAATTCAATAACAACAATATGGAGAAAAATAAGTCCAATGATCAACACTTCTCATAATTTTGTAAATTGGTCAAATATACTAATATTGATAAGTGCTTATTGGTATTTGTTCTCCGAGTGTGATCCTCGGATGTTAATGTATTTTGGATTGACTTTGGCTTAAGTGTTTATATTAAGATGATGGTCGTATATGTGTGTGTTTGGGTTAAAGAGACACGCGCTGTTTGTAGGATATACAAGATCACTGAGAAAACACATCGATAATACTACATCGCACCAAAGTTAATAGAAATATACGCCACATTTATTGAATAAGAGCTACTCAATATAAAATGGAATGGCATAGCACTAACTGAATTGTTCCAATGAATACCAGCGTATCTTTAACTGAATTTCTTTGTTATTGGTCCCATGATTGAGTTTTCTTATAAATTATCATTGGTAAACTCTGAAGTTATATGTGTTATATTGGCTCAGGATTGAATAGCAGTTCTATCATTTGAAAAGGGATGGTATAATAATGAGTCAGTGACCGTGAATTTGGTCCAACACGACATGCCTGTCATGTTGCCAATTTTTACATGATAACCAAATGGACGTAAAAGTGGATTAAGGTCATAGTGTCACAATGCCCATTTTCTAAAACATAACTTTCAATGTTAGAAATTATATATTTCGTGAATTATTGTTGATATGTAGTTTAAGCATGCTAACTACTACTATGAACATCTAGAGGAAGGGGTTGAGTAGTATACATGAGTTCCGCACCGCAATATAACGGGAAACTGTGATTGTTTTAACCCGTGATCCATAAATGAAGGGATTTCTGCCAGATTTGCTCCTATAATACATGTTGGCTGATTTGGCCATTGACGTAAACCATTATACAATCGACCATACAAACATCTATAGTTGTTTATAAGAAACATAAAAAGTGTAAAATCGAAACAATACCCCAAAAATGCATGTTTGTGCAAATTCTGTATGATATCTCGGGATTTGACAAAATAGAGGCCTGTTTAAAAATCATGTCTCTATTCGGTCACAAATGTCCCCGACACTGAATTTCATTTCGTGAGCACTTCCGTACCTGTGTACAATGTATATATACGAAAAGTGGGATGTATATGGTCGTAATAGAATACTTACATTGGATCTTTATGTTGCCCTGTCACGACTAGGATAATCCCAATGAACAGCAGGACGACCCCCACCCAAAACATAATGCACAACGCCTTTCTTGGGATCACCCAATCGTGCTTGCGTCTCTTTGTAAAATAACTCGACATTTTCTAAGCCTTAAAGCTCCACTTCTTAACTTTACTTCGTATTTCTTCTGAACTTAATATATGGCATCGTTCGTATCCATTTATTATCGCCATAGCTCAGCTATTTATCCACCATTTGTAATTTTCTTTATATGATCCGTTTTCGTGCTATAGTCACTTCTACGCACATCCCTCAAACAAGCTGAGTTGTTTCTACATTCTCTCTTGCGTTTCGTATACATTGAGGTGCGCATACACTCGTATATGTAAGAACACGATGCTCTTACCGTAGCCCTGTAGCTTGATAGATAACAGAATCCTTATATAAGCTAACAGTTCTTGTATATTCCTCGAACAGGTATGGCAGTGTTTGTTGTTACGGTTTTCTAAGTCAATACGCTCGTAGCAGAGCCTTAATCCAAAACTCAATTATTAGGCTATCACACGAACGCCGTTATACTCATAAATCTAAAGCAAATAAAAACGAATGTCCTGATGGAAATGTTATATTCATATACTTGTTTACGTTTTGTAATTTACTTCCTACTTAATGTTATGCAACAAGTGTGGGTTCATAAGTTAGCATCTTCCACATACCAAGAAGTACACTCCTCAGCTGGTAAGCTGTTAAAAACATTATTGGGGGAATGAGTCCCGAAGCGTGAAAGCACCGATTGTACTCAACCGGAGATAGCTGAACGAAATTCCGATTCTTCTTTATGGTAGGGGTTTAAGTTTAGGGTTAGGATTATGGGTGGGTAGGGTTTTAGGGATAGGGTTCGGGTTAGGGTTCATAAGCATTCTCCCATAATTGCGTACCAAATATCGTTACCCGTCCTGAAACTATTACATTGGATCATGTACTAACACGCATAGACTTGAGCTCAAAATAATGAAATAAACATAGAAACATTTGTACTTAAAAAACTAGAACCCGATCTGATATTCTTCTCAAGCACACGGCGAATTGTCTTTCGTATTACCAACCTAACGGTACATACATGTCTAGCTAGTAGTGAACCTTTTAGACAGAAATAGCTTTAACTAGAGAATTAGCTAGATTGCAAACGAGTTTTCATTGTTTTTCCATATATCAGTGGTAAAACCAAAACGTGTTTATTCTGGAACAAAATCCACTGTGGTATTGGAGAACTGTTAAAGTGTTTTATCGTCTACTATTGGTGTTTTATATGGCCATTATACTCAAAGTAGCGTTCAGTAGATAACCATCCTCTTCAGCTCTGCGGATTAATGCCCAATAGGTAATTCAAGCAGAAATGCAGAACTCTAATACAAACATCTTTTCCATATATATTTAGGGGGAATTTAGAATGCATTGTGTTGGATCTCATGTGAAAATACACACTTGGAAATGGTATCGTTTGCCTAAATTTTCCGTGATATTTAATATATCGCCTCAGTAACCCTCTCGCGGATTATTAGTTATTACATCTTTCAGCCGGTATACACTATATGTAGGATAATAGTAACATTCACCAGAGGAACACTTCCAGATTGTAATTCCACGCCACAGTTACCTTCACATCACAATGGACAATACCAGGGGGCCGAACTGCATGTTCATTAGTGGGGTTGCGGTCGTAAACAAAACGCATCGAAATAATAAAACTGAATTTATTCCATTGTTTTAGTTTAAAGAAAGCTATACAATGCACGTATACGATGTCGTTTTTTAACAAGGCATTACCATGCAAAATGTCACCACCTACTATTTGTTACAGAGTTCGAACGCCGAACACTAGCCTCCGAACATCAACAGCCGAACGCAAAACACAGTCCGAAAAAGACCATAGAAATGGCATCTCTTACGTGATGGTGACATAAAAAACGAGACACGTATGAAAATGGTGATGAACCCAATATTTCGTAAGAATCAAAATTTTAGGAGTTAGAATATACATATATGCAATTAGCAATACAATATATAAACAAAATATATCAATTAGAATTAGATAAAATTCACATATAGCGTGATATGATACAATGCAGGATACGAACGATACATTTAGTTGTGATTCAGATGTATATACTCCAGATACAACAAAAAATTCTGCACAGCCAATCTCCAACGGTGCCGTATGGTACCGTACTCCTACGGTACCGTGATTTCAGAGTGCAGATTGGGGGTGTACCTCAAAACATTCTAAAATGTTCAAATTATAAATCGTACAATTAAAATCGAAGAACCCTCCATGATATCAATACGATACTAATAATCGTATAGTAAGCCAAAAGAATTGAACCAATGCTTCGTTCACTTCCTTGATTGTTATATTTATATAGACTAGAATTCATGACAGAAATTCTGAAATGAAAAATGGCGGCGGATTTATTCTGAATTTTGTAATCGCATAATGGAAATTTAAATATTGCCCCACGTGCTACTTATCGCGTGAACTTCATAAGATAAATCGGAAACTGTTGCGTTTACAAGGGACAAGTTGGCAAAGGATCAATTTCAACCTGAAGAGACAACTGTTTAACAAGTGACCTTGAATTCGGTGACTGGTGATATAACGCACTGCAGTTATGTGAAATACTGTCGTGGTTGGATTGGCTGGAACCGGACACCTTGCCTAATGGCTGTATATGTCCAGGGATGTGTCTGTCGATCTTAATGCGATTTCCTCTAGAGGATCGACAATGAGGATTGGCTCCCAAAGTGCAACATCGATATTTTTGCCATATATGGGCATGTCGGTTAAGATATAACGACATATAAATATAAATATCACATACATTCTCCAAACAACAGATTGCCTACCAAATGTATTTGTATTTACTCACGTAGGCAGAGTTGAAACTCTGTGTTGGAGGACAACTTGTAATCCATGTTAATTTATTATTGTAATCAAGATTAACCGATCAACATATCAATGATTGTAATGAATTCACGATTATTGCAAACAGTTACTGCAGCAGTGATTCTAACTAATCTTAGTATAAACAAAGTGTCATAAATAGGTTAGTAAAGACATGAATGTATATATTTAGATTGATGGCGGAAGTATTCTTACGATATTGCTGGAAAGGAACTTCCGTTGCATAAACACTATCAATGTCATATAAGCCAGAGAAATCCACAAAAGAGAGTTGCACAAATGTTGATATTAAATGTCACTTTGAACCAAATTGAATGACACTTCCGTTTACATTTCTATTTTTATTTGAACTAATGTTGTACTCGGGGTATTAACTATGAAATACCATTTTAAATTTCCTTGCTTCACTACCTAAATGTTTTTTTACATTTATCATATCGCTGTCATATTCCCCACTCTGTGATTAATATGTGTCCTATACGTGAGTAGGAAATAAAACGGATATTCACCGACACGACACGTGACTAGGAAATATCAAAGGATATTCCTCAGCTGCGAATTTTTTATTGTTATTGTATACTGTTTAGTTATGCCTGGGTCACATTTGCTCCGATCCATCGGCCGGCGCCCGGCCGATTGAGTGTTTTGCTCAATATTGTATTCAATTTTGAAAATACTCAATCGGCCAGGCGCAGTAGTGAAAGTCGGAGCAAATGTGACCAAGGCATCTGGGGAATTTCTCTATCATGATATTGATTTTTGACCGAGTATAGAGGGCAGTGTAGTGGGATAACATCCTGTGAATGTTACTTTAATCTTCCTCTAGCACTTTGGGGTCTCCTGGGAACATTGCTGTGAAGTTTAATTGCACGTGCATTTACCTCAATAAAATATTTGTAAAGTAATGAATTCTGTAGTGATCGACATCCCAAAACAGTACGTGCGTGTAGCCAGTTGATTTATCATGAAATGCATGAATCAATTGGCTTTACACATCAGCCCCTGATAAATTGGATAAGGAAACGTCAAATTACTGCAAAATAATATATAGTTTCCTATAAGCTTGGCTATGTTAACATCTTATCCTTAGATATGATTACTAGTTATATTACATAATAACAAAATCATCTGATATTACTGTTTATACATCCCGTTTATACATATAGGGAAATACAAAAAATGGAAATTCAGACAAGTCAAGTAAAGCAAGGTATAAATTACTAAATATAGAGGGTCGTCTTAGTTCAAAACTGTGGACCCCCCCCCCATTCTACTTCTCAAACGCAACCTGGTGTAAAGTAGATAAGGTGGAGGGGGGGGGGGGTCCAGGGTCTTGAAGCAAGATTATGTAGAGGGTATCCCCAAAATACTGCTTTTCGCGATAAGAGTTCAGGTGGTAATTTACATAAATATCTCCCATGATGCATCGCTTTGGAAGGGACAAATTTTCATTGGCCCGCCGAACGATTACTCTGAACGTTTCTCAGCTTCTGATCTTCCATCAGCCCTCAAGCATAGTTAATATGATCTAATCTATTCAATAATCAGAAAGATAATCGGAGATTCAAAGTAACATTATTAATATTTTTTCGATCTTCGATGGCGTCTGAGCAATTTCTGGGATATCAGTGACGTCACTGGAACTGGACGGCATTTTCAACTACAGATTTCTTCGGATTCGGGGATTATAGTTCAAAAAGCTTTCTCATATATCTTTATTACATACATACCTATCGTTTGTGCAAATGAAACTCTACATAAATGTTTAATAGAGTAGGCTTTAATATCAAAATTGACTTTAGAGAGTTTAAGCTTGTATTGTTTTTTCACAACGAAACAGTAAATGGAAAGTACATGAATCAATATAGGTCTGTGTAGAGCACACATACAAAGGGCCAGACAAAGGGTCACCTCCGAAATGTATCTATCACCATGTGAATATTTTATAGTTTGGTACGTGGCTTATTCTTTATGGTTTATCAATTATCATTCTTTGTTCATTGCAACATTTAGGATATTGCACATCACTCATATTTGTTTAGTCATTGTATTTATATTTCTAACAACTTTCGTGACAGAGTAAAAAAGTTGACACCCTTAATGTTCATTCTTTTCTGGTATGACAGCATCGTAAATACTTAGAATTTTCCGATATTTTTACACAAAAGGACGATTCTAGGTTTGGAGAACGAAGTTCATCAATCTAAATGAGCATTATCCCTGCTTCGGACAAATTTGATTTTTTTTACATAATATAGATTTGAATGTCTTCTTTTGAATAGTCATAATTTAATTTGGGTAATATTTCTAGATTTTTCGCAAAAAAATATTAGCGCAGTACACTGATGAACTTCTTTCCCCAAATCGAGACTTGTATTTTATTGAATCGGTCTATTTGAGCATTATCCCTGCTTCAGACCAATTTGTTATTTTTACATCTTGTAGATTTAATTATCCTCTTTTGAATATTCATAGTTTAATTTGGGTAATATTTCTATATTTTTCATGAAAATCTTTTTAGCCCAGGAGGCTGTTCTCCAAACCGAGAATCGTCCTTTATGTTATCGTTCTGAATATGGTTCTAAATAATATGAAATTATAAGTTGCATTTGAAATTATCTCGTATAAACTCGAGGATTCCACCTACAGCTTGCGGATCATCCAGGTGCTCTATTTCTTCGTTTAAAGAGAATCTTAATGATGGATCGGGAACTATATCTGCAATCTCAGCGTCTCCCTCGGTAATGGCTTTCTCTAGGGCTTTGCTATTCGCCAAATTCTTTTTCCTGTTGACAAGAAGAGTGTTTGTCTTGACCCAAGCAATTTGAATCCCGTCATCCGTTTTCAAAGCATTAGCGTAATCCCGCCCATTCTTTTTCTCAATACGTGGCCGCGGAGATGTTCTTCCATCGCCAACAACAATAACAAGGTCTTTGTATTCATCGTCGTTTCGATCATTTGGTTTTTTGAAGAACGTTTCATTTGCAAATTGAAATGCAAATCGTATTCTAGTTTTACAAGGCTGACGGACATCATATGAATCTAGAAAACTTCGAAGTGTTTGATCTTTTTTATTTGCCGGGGGAAATTTCCAAACGTTTTCCCTGATGACTTTCCTACTAAATGGTACCACACCAAACCATGCACCATCATTCGTGTTGAGAATAAGGCGTTCTGATAACTTCTTTATTAACTGAATACCCATTAGCCTATCTTTTCTGGGGACAGAGCAGGAAAAGTCGAGGATAAAGACAATATCAGCGCATGCGTGTACTTTCTTGATTGTAGAATCAACTGGATCATCTGCACCTAAAAGGATCAACATTATTAATATGAAAAAACATGAGTAATACACTTTAATCTTGTATGAATTGGCGGTATTGGTCATTGGCAGGTTGACGCGAATGAACCTTCGAGTTCAAGGGGTGAAAAGTCCCTGTGAAAAGTCAATTGATCCTTATTGTATCCCAGGACAGAATTTCCGTGCTCTATATGAATTCGAACGGCCTGCCTCAAATAGTTAAAGCTGTCACAACCGGTCCAAACTAAGTTAATGCACAAATGGCCTTCTTCACAATTTCGGAGGTTTTAATTTTTCTCCCGCATCGTTGCCCAGGAAAGACCAAGAAACCAAATTTGTCAGAAACGCACTTCTTTACGTTATATTCTTTTAACTAAAAGAGAATTATCATCTGTATTATGGCATGAAGAAATAAAACAGATTATGAATACTTTTAAAGAAAATGTAATAGTTATTCCATCGGATTGCTTTGATACTGTCAACCTCAAGTTTTAGTTGCATCAATTTACGAAGAACCATTAATTCTTGAAAACGAGTCCCCATTTACATGTACTTAGTTTAATACTAAAAATGTCGTTAATTATCTGTGCCTCAAATTGGATGAAGATTGTAGGATGCATGCGTCCCATTTACAAAAGTTGTGAAAAACTGGATACTATCATTACCTCCTGCAAATTCAACTTCATTGCCTAGCATGTCTTCCCACGTCGTTGTAAATCTATTGGTTGATGTTACAGCGGTTGGTGTGGTTGATGCCGTTGGTGTTGTTTTCCTTGAAGTAAATACAGCCGTGTTTGTAGTAGTCTCTCTAACCAAGGTAGGTAGCTTTAAGCACATCTTCATCGAGGAGCCCTTCCCACATCTAAATGCGATCTTTCCGAGAAAACTTCCAACTTTACGACAATCACTAATATCCGAACAACTTTCACGACCTGAAACTTGTCTTCTAACTCGCTCACATTGCGCCATATCCGGTACGGATAATATGATGACAAGAAGTGAATATACCAAACTCTCCATCTTCATATTTCGCCGTTTTCCGGTCGAAGCAATGAATCACAGTGTTCAAAATACAACTAGATCATAATTGCGGGATTTGGCATAGTTCTTATTTTATCCTGCACCTTGAAATTGTTGACACTGTTTTTCATTAGATTCATCAATGTCCATAAGTTTGTTTGTCGCATTGATTTATATATCACTCATTGCTGGAAATATGCATCTTCAATACCATAGAAAAGAAAAACAAATGCAAAAACAATTTTCAAAGTGAAAATTACTGTAGACTAGATTTATGGTATGTAGTCAATGGTAGTGCAAGTCTTCAAACTAGTTATCAAAACAGATCAGTGGTTTCAGTAACTTTCTGCACAAGGGGCAGATGGAAAAAACAAGAGGCGCCATTCAAAATAACCAATTTTACACTCCCGGAAATGCAAATTCTTGTCCATGGACAGAAAGTGGACAAATGAACAAGGGCATGGACAGGCTTTGCCAAAAATGATATAGAATTCTGATGTACAATATATTTCAAAGACAATGTATCTGAAATACAATATTATTGTACAGTCAATCAAAGTTTTGAACTTTGAATCCTATTAAGAGGTGATTTAAGATGTCCAGGATTTTACTTTTTGCAGGTTTGTCAAAGTCATTTCCCCGTGTGATATTTGGTCAACACAAATGACACCATATAATTTACATCGAAATTTATCTGCTGACTTATACAGTCCTCATGTAGAGTTTGAAAACATGTTTTTTCATATATTTACTATTTATCATGACTTAAAAATTATTTTAAGAGATTTTTGAAAAAAATGTTTTTGAAATGAAAGTTGTCAGCTTTTCATTTCTTAAATTCCGAATTTGCCGCCATTTTTCAAATAAAGTTGAACTTTTTTAATCATCAAATATTTCACTACACAGTGCAAGAAATTATTATCTTTTAAACAACAATATAAAGATTGAACAAAGGACACACTATTTCAATAATAAAATGTCATATCTGATGTGCCAATACAATGTTTTAGCATATCGAAAATGTTTTGCAACCTAACTTTTCTATGCTAAACTAAGAAATAAACCAATGTTGACTGTCTAACCAGGTTAAAAAGATGAATACATTATGTTTTCAATATCATTACCATTGGTTTCCGTGAGAACTAAAATATGAAATGCATTTGCCCTGAACCACTTTCATTCATGAATGAGTTTATTGCTCGCTTATTTATCAACCAATTTTTTTAATTTTGTCTGCAAAAAACAAGTGAGGATGAATGCTATGCATCGGTCTGAATTATGTGTTAGTGTAACCTCTCAAAGTTAGTTTTTAATAAATTCACGGTATTTTGAACAAACGGTCCTTCAAAACAAAATTTTTTGAAATTAATAAAAAGTTTCACATTTCACACTTTGATAATATTGGATAAGCCAAAGTTTATATTGGACCTTTAACTGATTAATACAATTTTACACCCATTGGAAAGATGTACTGTGACTAGTTGTATTAATCATACATTTATCTGCATGTCCCATGGAAAATAAGGTACAAATCATAAACAAGGAAGTGCAAAATAAGATCCCTAAATCAAATAAAGGACAGTCTATAGAAGACTTTTAATTTCCCCCAAACTTAGACAATATTTGGCTTCTGACAAACGGCGGATTATCGAAAACAAACGGCGATTTTAGGCACTCGCCCCCTGCTATTGAAAGCCCAGCAGATCCGTTTCGGTAACAAAATGTCGGAACCTCGAAGGTACGATTTTACAGTTGTCCTTATTGCATGAGTTGTACAGTGTACGGCAGAATCTCCATGACATTTTCATAAAAAATGGATGTAAGCATTATACATGTATGTTTAAGAACATCTCCACGTTTGCGAACAAATAGTTCTGATCAGAAGACGACAGAATCATCCACTTCTTGTACAAATGTTATTGATACACATTTGTGATGAAAATGTCGTATACATACATTTTGCATACAACTCGTGCACACAATAACACTGGTAAATAGTTATAATAGTAGTATCCGATTACTGAATAGCGAGTCATGAGTATATACATCCAATAATATGTTGAATTTCATAACATCTGAAGTGAGGAATCCATTCGATTATTGGAGCTGATGAGGGATATATTTGCTCCTGACTGCCTAAAGCTTTAGTTGTCGAATATAACTATTACCATACAGGTTAAATATTTGGATACAAATCGACTTCATTCTTGACGAAAATGATGCAAATAAAAATTTCCCTCGACGGAAGTTAATCCATTTTGTTACAAAAACGTAACGTCTTTAAAACCAGGTGGGGACTAGAGAATAATGAACAAGGCACAGGGTGAGCAATATTGTACCTAAAATATAGCACTGTAGATTTCTTAACCCAGAAAGCAAGATGGCCGTTGAAAAAATAATCAGCTCAAGAACCTCATAACATGTCGTGGTTTTCCTTGAATTTCAATGACAAGAATATATCTGTAAATCTCCAAATTTGCCACCAGAAAGCGAGCTAGTGAATCAGCTCTGAAACTTGTTACAATGTAACATTATGTAAAAATTGGAAGGGATTCAGTTTAGTGGTTCTCCCTCAATCGCGATGACAAGATTGATCTAATATCTTCCAAAATGGCCGTTACTAGAAAGCAAGATGGCCGCCGAAAAGTTATTCAGCTCTAGAACTCCTTATCTTCTTATAATCGCGATATATACATTGTCATTCTTTTATAATAAAGCAGAGATTAAAGATTGTAGAGGTTTACTCCAAACGCTTGAAACCTTCAAACTCCCCCCCCCCCATGGTTATAAAGACGTTACGTCTTTTTACCAAAATGGATGACATCGGTCTGAGGAAATATTCGATTTCATAATTTTCACCAAGTAGGAGGTCGATCTGTATCCAAATATGTTATGCTACTAGTAACATCCGGTCACTAAAAAGCTAGCCAGTCACAAGAAAATATATCTAGCAGCCCCAATATCGAATGAGTATACCCACTTAAGCAACCAGGACCTTATCTTGTAAATTCCATAACGTCTTGCCTTGTATTAGCTCCTATTAACGCCCTGGTTGCTAAATTGTGGAGTTTCTCACTCGATTATTTGAGCCTTTGGATGTATATACTCGTCTTTACTATTAACACACGGGAAAAGTATGTGGATACCGGTCGACTTCCTTCTTAGTGAGAATGATAAAAATAAAAAATCCTCCAACGGAAGCTCATCATACATTTGGTTATAAAGACATTATTGAGATTAAGTGAACCCTGTCACTGTTTAAATTAACCTTTTATTTAATATCCCTTGACCTCAGGAGGCCATAGCAACTATAATGTACACTCGGGCTGCACTTAAACTAGTGAAACTATTGACTCTTTCCAACAATTATTACTAGCCTTTGAATTTTATTTTTATTTATTTTTTATACATACTTCCAAAATGTATTTATCACCATATAAAATGTGTTTTTTATACTGGTTGACACAAAAATGCCACCCATTAATTTTGGAATAACTTTCTAAATAATTATAAACTCTTCATGATTTTTTGTGAGTCGATAGATCCTCCAATGGAGGACAGATTGGTATACTTGCCTAGCATCAACAACTTGGGAATGATGATATATCTCATTTTCCGTGGAGGTATGCTCTGACACAAAATCATTAGGAAACGTAAATTAGAAAATCTGTCTTTTCTAAGATTTACCCAATGAGCAAGTCAGTTTAACAAATTTGACATTATTTTAGATAACATGGGTAGAAATGACATTATTGACACAAGACAAAATCGTATGGAATAATTTGCGATAAGCTAGTTATTAAGCTTGTTATTATGGTCTTACTAGTGGTTATTATTGAGTAATGGTACAGGTATTCGATATGGTATTGCAGCTTACACTTAAGTAATGGTACACGTATCCTTGGATTTTAGGCCCGAATACCGAGGTTTATTTTTTTAATTATCGTGTATTATTATTTTGTGTTAATATTAGTTAACCATATAACTATTGGCATGATATGATAACCTTGTTATATTAATATAGCGCATAGGCGTAGCCAGGGGGATGCGATGTGTGCGATCGCACCCCCCCCCCTCCATAACCAATGAAAATAGAACCATTAGATAGAAGAAAAAAGTCTTAAAATGCTTTTTATTTGAAGCTTCTAGCTCGATTTTGAACGAAGTTGCACCAATTTTTGTAAAATTCAAAACAAATCTTCAAAAACATTTTTTATGCCACGATCGCACCCCCCCCCCCCCTCCCCCCGACTGAAAGCTGGCTACGCCACTGTAACGTGTAATCAATACGCTACATTTTGTATGTTCAATTTGTATACTAAAAACTGTTATTAATCCACAAATTTAGATGAAGACAAGATAAAAATTCGAATCAAGAATGAAAAGGTGTCTAAGTATATGATTCTTAAGGGTAATGCATATTTGAATTAAACAGAGGCGGGTTAATTTATATTGTGCTATGAATTACGCTATTATTCAAAATTGCAGCTAAGATGCCTGTTTTACGATACCCTGCGTGCAGAGTCTAGTTAAACTACACTAAGACGAAGCTCTCTTTTAGTGAAGTCAAAGGGTAGTTTTATGAAAAATATCACGGAAGATGTATTCTAGATATCAGTAGTATTCTCAGAAATTTATTATCCGAAACGGATAACATCTGGCCACTCAGACAAACAATCGCAGACATAGGCTAAGCTTGTTTATTTAACAGTTAGATTTGTTGACTTACCGATCCGTATTTCAATCTCCGGGAAGACGTTCTTTTCACTTTGTATTTGCGTGCAGTGTAATATAAGTTGATACTTTTGTTCAAAAATGTACTTTTAATGGCCATTTTATGCCTTTTATTTTCAAATTATGTTTTGTTTGGATGTCAGTGTGAAAAGTCAAGAAACGTCAACCCCGACTTTAAATTGTTTTAAAATGTTGGTTAATCACTTATGGCAAATCACAAGGTTGATGATGTCAACGGACCATGATCGTGGAAGGCTATCAATATCAGGTGT